ATCAACAGTCCTTTGTATATTTAAATGAAATGAAATGAGAAGTCTGCCATTTATCACAAGCAAGGTAGGAAATGATCCTGATTTCACTTTGGGGAGTTGCTCTGGCAATTATTTTATGAAATGAACTTGGCTGGGTTTTTCAGAAACAGCTGAGAAGGAAGAAATAGGCAGGTAAGTAATTCCACTATTTCTCAGAATGGATAGGTGTTTTTTCCAGGTTCCTGTTATCGATAGTACCTGTATGTTCCTGTCATGTTTTATCACATATATCATGTTCTATAACACATGTATCTATCATGTTACATCAGCCACAGCTCGACCCAGGCTTCCTATTCCTCTCAACTGCTCCTTAATCCAGCCACAGTCTCTGAAGTCTTCACAGACTGAGCCTGTGCTGAGCAGATGCTTCTCTAACAGCTTTTGCATCCATCATAAGAACTGCTCACTTTAGCACCTTCTTACAGTTCACTGATTACTTCAGGTCTGCATGTCTTTTCTACCCAGACTATTTCATAATACCCTTGTGAGATGTGGTTAGGCTTAGGCTGGAGCCTGGGGTGTCAGAGAAGTGTCAGTGCTCCTCCCTTGGTGTCCTCTGTACGCTCCTGCCTCTCCTTAGCAGTTGATGACCCTTGTCACCCCATGCTAGGCTCATGCTGGGCTCAGGATCTTTCATTCAGGCTGAGCCTTAGACCCAGAGAGGGTGCCTGGCCCAGGGCTGGGTCTTCCTTCACATTCCTGTCCTTTCTACCTTGGCAGCCAAATTCTGTCTTGGATTTATGGTTACAGATTTAATGGCTCTTCATTTAAACTGCCAAACTGCATCCCAGTGAGCAAGTACGAATTTATATTTCACCAGCAGCAGATGAGGGTTCTATTACACAAGGCTTTTTGTGTCTAACATTATCGGGTTCCTGTGATATGTTGGTATTCCACAATTCCATTGCCTGCCTAGACAGTGGAAATGCAGCACCAGGTCTTGGGTGTATAGTAGGGCATGATACATTTTTATGAATGAACTATAAACAAAATATAGTCTATTGAGTGGTCCGGAGGTACCACTTTCATTGTGATTTCTTCCCAGTTGACAGGAGCAGTCCCTATGTGACTCAGGAATGAAAAAACAGCATGCATTTCAGTAGGAAGCTCCATCTGACAGCCACGAGAAGCAATGGTCTTTAGACAGAGGCATTCTGATTCCACCTGAAAATACCACAGACTGAGGGTTTGGAAACCTGAATTCCAACCTCGATTCTATCTCTAATTAGCTATTTCTTAATCTTCAAATTACTGATCAGTTCTATTCTTCATTTTCATTACCAGTCAAATAGGATTAAAGATATTTATCCTATTTCACTGTATTGTTGTGCGGGTAAAATGAAATTACAGAAGTCCGAGCCCTTTACACTTTTGAAGTGCTCTAAAAATACAAAGTATTCCTCTAGGAAGAGTCAGAGAGCTGTAGAAAAACGTGGGAGTTAGAAATTAAAGGTACCCTTTTGACATCTACACATTTACGGTATGAGAGTACCCGAATATGGAAGAGGGCGAAATTAGAGTTCTTCATCCCGCTAAAATTAGCCTGTTTGTGATAAAGGTTAATTAAGTCCTTCTCAATCAGGCGAGAGCACATTTTGAAAGGGGAATAGCATGCAAGCCCTTACTCACGCTGGAGAGTGATGAGGTCTTCATGTCAGATCCCACTCAGGGCTCAGTGAGTTCTTCCGTTGGACTGTTTCCTATACTCCTAACCTGACACTCCACCTGCTGTCTCAAGTCTAGAATTCATTCACTGTGCTGCTTGGGCCATTAGAGTGACACACACTTGCACTCAGAAAACAGACCTTAAAGTCATCATGACGTTTATTTCCTTCTGCCAGCTTTCACTCACACCAGATAGCCCACACCAAAGATCAAATCATGCACCGCACACACATATGGTTTCATTTTCTCTTTTGTAACCCGTCACACACAGTTGAAACTTTCATCCATAAGACTGTAGGTCTAGAGCAGGGGTCACAAACTACTGCCTGCAGGCTACGTCCAGTCCACTCACTGCCTGTTTTTATAAATAAAGTTTTATTGGAATGCAACCACTCCCACTTCTTTACATATTGTTGGTGCTGCTTTTGTGCTACAGTGACAGAGTTGCATGGATGTATCAAAGACTATATGGCCTGCAAAGCAGAAAATATTTGCCATTTGTCCCTTTGCAGAAAAAGTTTGCCTACTCCTGGTCTAGAGCATTGATATTAGTCCTGTTCACTTCTCACAAGCATTACTAAGACAAATTTGTTCTACACAGGTCTCCTTCTTTCACTTGATGAATTAATCACTCATTAATCACTTATCATCTAATAATAATAATAATAATAATAATCACTTAGCATCTAAGAATAATGAGATAGAGTGTGCGATCTTCTTCATTTGTGGGAGAATGTACAATCATTAAAAGCATTTAGCTAGAAATGTTTACAGAAAATACAGGGGAAAAAAGAAATGTGAAACAACACTCCATGAGGATGCAATCCCTCAAGTCCAGGTTGTGAAAAATTCTACACAATGAATTACTCAGTGTCTTCAATAAATAAATGGACACAGAAAAAAGGTGGAGTAGGGAGCTGTGGAGATTAAAAGAAATTTAAGGGACCTTTCAACCTAAGGCAGTATGTGGACCTTCTAATTTGAACAGACCAACTAAGGTAATCAGAGATAATGAGAATTTGAATGTAGATGGGGTGTTAGGTGCTATGAAGGAATTATTTTTACTTAGTTATGATAATGGTATTGCGGTTTTTTTTAAAAAAACATCCGTGTCTGTTATAGATAATTAAATTACAGTATTTATGAGTGAAGTAATATGATGCCTGGGATTTTCTTTCTCCTCTTGTTAAGCTCCTTCAGCAAGAAAAAAACAATAGGGAGTTTAGAAGAAATAATATTGGCAGAAGTTTGATATTTATCAAACCAGGGTGAAGAGCACCTCAAATTCATTATGCTTTTCTCTCAAACTTCGTGCATGTTTGGAATTTTTCATTACAAAGCGTTTTTTTAAATCATGCATTTAAGTGTTTAAAAGTTGAATCCTGGTTCTGCCAGCTGTTTCTACATTTGTAAAATGGGGGTTGTAATTCAGATTGTATATGGCATTATGAGGATTATGAGAATTAAGTGAGATAGTAAAGAGTTTAGCACAGTCTCTGCACATGCAGGAAGTGATTGATACCTGGTAGCTATTACATTGTATCTGTTTCAAACTATAAATTTATAATCCCTGTGAATGTAGTTCATTTATGATATAATTGACCTTTGTGAACAGTACACCTTAAACCCATATTGTTGCTACACAAGAATAAAAAACCGAAATAGGGGATTACTTTCAATATAGTCACACATTTCCTTGACATGTGATACCCAGTCTGAAAACAATCATAGCAGCTAGAGGATGCATGGAGGGAACGCTATGGTAGCCTACTACTGCAATCAAGGAGAACACGACTGGAATTTGAGTCCTAACAATCGGCCGTTCCTTAACAGTAGTTTTTTGTTTTGTCTGTTTCTTTTTTTTTTTTTTTATGTATTTTTTTTATTTTGTCAATATACACTGTATATGATTATTATGGCCCGTCACCGACACCTCCCTCCCTCCTCCCTCTCTCCCCTCCCCCCCAAGAATGTCCTTTGCGTTTGCTTGTTGTAACAACTTCATGGAAGTATAGTTGTTATATCTTCTTCCCCATGGTAGGTCTATCTTCAGCTGTTTGAGGAACCTCCAAACCATTTTCCATAGGGGTTGCACCATTGTGCATTCCCACCAACAGTGTAAGAGAGTTCCTTTTTCTCCGCAGCCACGCCAGCATTTATCTTTCGGTGTCTTTTGGATTTTTGCCATCCTAACTGGGGTGAGATGGTATCTCAGTGTGGTTTTGATTTGCATTTCCTGGATGCTGAGTGATGTTGAGCATTTTTTCATATGACTGTTGGCCATTTGCATATCTTCTTTAGAGAAATGCTTACTTAGTTCTTTTGCCCATTTTTTGATTGGGTTGCTTGTTTTTTTCTTGTAAAGTTGTTTGAGTTCTTTATATATTCTGGATATTAGTCCTTTGTTGGATGTGTATTTTGCAAATATTTTCTCCCACTCTGTTGGTTGTCTTTTAGCTCTGTTAATTGTTTCTTTTGCTGTGCAGAAGCTTTTTAGTTTGATATAGTCCCATTTGTTTATTTTTCCTTTGGTTGCCTGTGCTTTTGGGGTCATATTCATGAAGTCTGTGCCCAGCCCTATTTGCTGAAGGGGTTCTCCTCTGTTTTCTTTAATAAGTTTTATTGTTTCGGGGTGTATATTTAAATCCTTGATCCATTTTGAGTTGATTTTAGTACATGGTGAGAGATGTGGGTCTAGTTTCAATGTCTGTTTCTTAATTATAGTTTTCTCAAATATTTCTAACAAGTGTCTGTAAACACATTTATGCACCATGGGCATGGGAAGTCACGTGACTATACATGGAACTGACAGATTTCCCTGCTTAAATGACATTGTCTCTCCTTGACAGTGTGATTCTCCTACTGAACTCCAGGAAGGCTCTGACTTACATGATACACCTTTAACTCAGTCTGGACTGACTTGATTGGCCACATGCTAGTCAACCACTCATTAGCCAACATGTATCACACTAATGTGCATGATAACACATTAACTTAAAGGCACAGAATTTCTGAGCAAAACATTATCATCTTTTGTTGCCTCAAGCTATTGAAATAAACAAACTTAGACTCTGCCCCACACACGATATCTCTTAAAATTCACCCCCTTTTTGAGTCTCCTTCTAAAGAAAATTACCGTCAAAGAGAAATGTTGGGAAGCATACTGTTCATAATGGATGTTAAAAAGCAGAAGAAGAAAAAAAAAGAATAGAGATATGTTGGGGGAAGTTTAGAAAGCAATGTTTTGGTTAAACTGAGGATACCAAACTGTATTTTTTTTTTCTGTTTATCCACAGAATGACATCACTCCTTTACATGTTGCATCAAAAAGAGGAAATGCAAATATGGTCAAACTGTTGCTTGATCGAGGAGCTAAAATCGATGCCAAAACCAGGGTAAGGGAGCAACTTCTGTACACGCTTATATTTATTTTCAGGAAGTAGGAATACTTTTCCTAATACTTTTGCATGGGTTCAACACTAGCTTTATTTTTGTTTCATTTGTAGTAATCTCCTGGAAAATGACAAATATATTTATTCTTCTTAAAATAAAGTGACCATCCATATTTATAAATCTTTAATACATGTTCAAATCGTGCCTGACTTTAATTATGGAAACAAGGTCTAAGGTTGTAGTTCTCATTGAGTAAATTTTCAAGCTGAGCTATTTGGTCAGTCTGATACTAAAACTGACAGTTATTGTATTTTTTAAAACAAATCTGTCTACCCTGTGCATTGCTGGTAGACATGTAAAATGGTGTGGCTGCTATGGAAAACAGTGTGGAGGTTCCTCAAAAAATTAAAAATAGAACTACCATATGATCCAGAAATCTCACTCGTGAGTATATGTCCCAACGAAATGAAAGCAAGATCTCAAAATATTTGCACACCCAGGTTCATAGCAGCATTATTCACAATAGCCAAGATGTGGAAGCAACCCAAGTGTCCCTTGACAGATGAATGAATTAAAAAAATGTGGTATATACATACAATGTAAAATTATCCACACTTAAAAATGAAGGAAATCTTGTCACATGCTACAACGTGGATGAACCTTGAGGACATCATGCTGAGTGGAATAAGGCAGCCACAAAAGGACAAAAGCCACGTGATTCTACTTCTATGAGATATCTAGGGTAGTCAGAATCATGGAAACAGAAAGAAGAATGGTGGTTGCCAGGCACTGGGAGGAGGGGAAAATAGGAGTTGTTGTTCAGTGGGTACGGACTTTGAGCTGTACAAGACGAAAAATTTCTAGAGGTCTGTTATACAACAATGTGAATATAGTTAACACTACAGAGTACACACTTAAAAATAGTTATGAAGGCAAATTTTTATATTATTATATATAATTGTATTATATATATATATGTATTTTACCACAATTAAATTTTTGCTAAAAGATTTAAAAATTACAAAACCCCACAAATCTGTCTAGCTAGGTGTTTGCAACACGTTGCTTATTCAGTGGGATGCATTGTGGTGGGAGAGAGAACTGAGACTTAGAAACTGATTTGAATCCAGATTCTGAGCTTAGCTAATTGACTTAGATAGAATCTTTCACCTTTCTGCTTGTGATTTTCTCTGAAAATAAAGAAAATGAATGGCCACCTTGAAGGGTTACAGCAATGATCAAAATAATGTTTGTAAACTGTGCATACATAAAGTAGGCCAGATGTAAATCCCAGCCATTACTAGTATATCTCAGAGCCCCAATTAGCATTAAAATTCTAGCCAAGACATTTTCTTTTTTAACGTATCGTATGTTCGCTGTGAGGTCTGAGCAAGAGCCAGTCTAATAAAAAGGTGGGCTCACCATAACCATCGCCTGTCTAAGGTATGAAATTGTTTTCCTGTCTTGTAATTGTGACTCCTGCAGTCCTCTGCTTCCCACTTCCAAAAATCCTGATCTCCATGTTTCTAAAAGTGGCCTGGTAACCTCAACTTGATTTCTGTAGTGCTTTGATTTACTACTTCATTTGTCGTTCATTGCATTTATTAACTCAGCCAATAAGAGATTACTGAGTGTTTACTATCGGCCAGACACAGCAGGTGAAAGAGCAAGACATGACAACACTTCCTCTGCCCTCATAAAGCTGAGGGCCAGGCTGTCTTCTGTGCTCTGACCCCAGTACAGCCCAGCCATGGGTAATCAGCAGGAGACCCAGGCCTCTTTTCCCTGATGACTACTGAACCTGAAAACCATGTATGTACCTTAAAAGAAACAAGTTCTCCAGAGAGAAAGCGTGAAGGAAAATGAAGGTTGACCCTTAAAGGACTGTCCAGCTGGGGAGGTAAATTGAATAGAAGTTTTATTGAACAGACTTCACATAGTTCCAGTAAGAAGCAATTATCAGTACAGTATGTAAAGAATGCCAGAACTGTTGCTTTAAACAGCAAGGGGCTTATGCCACTTGACTGTCACGTGGAGGGGAAGGGTCATTTGTAAATAGGAAGAACCTTTTGAAGGGAAATAAAAGATCCAGGAGCTACGCAGAAAAGGGAAGCTTAAGAGATGGCTGGAAATCCAGCTGGGGTTTTAGTGGGCATGTGGATTGGAAATTACTTATGTTTCCCTCTCTTGACACAGTCATCAGTCACCAGAACAGCAAAAGTACTTGTCGGTCTTGTTGCGTCATTTATTAAACATGTACAGTATTTGGTACATTGGGAAGAGAAAAGGGCAGCATATCAGGTCACAGGGGAGGGCCACTAGAAAAACATAAAAATTCTTCTGAATAAAAGTATGGGAGAGATGAAATAATGTACATAGGCAAAATTCATTATGCAGCTTGGTTTCTATGCCACTTTGTCTCCCTGCTCTGAAAAGCTGTCCTATTTTCAACAGAGATGTAGCGTCCTTTTCACCTCCCATTCAGTTTCACTTGGATTTACTTTTCTCCTGTGTTATGTGAATGATATGTGGATGTGAAGGAAAGACTTGAAGAGCCAGAGACAGAAAAGCCTGTTGTTCTTTCGTCATTGTCCTGCTGGAGTGGGTTGGGGGAAGGGTGTCAGTTGTGCACAGACTGAATTCCTGGAAGACTAAATGGAAGACTGTGTAGCACATACCCAAAATATGTGAACTATTTTGTGTTCTCATCAAAGCTTCCCTTCTCTCTCGCTGAAATGACGAAGTGGCGATTGGGTGTATGGGTGAAAGGGAGGGAACAAACTAAAATGTCAGAAAGCCATGGGGACAAGCCTAAAAACAGAAAGTAGAACTTTTCATAAATACAAGCTTTAACTACCCGGCCCAGTAACTACTGAGGAAACAGATACTGTTATCTAAGCTTCCGCCTCCTACCAAGTCCTTACTACTGTTGAGGCCACCTTGTTGTATTCAACAGATCTCACCTGTATACACACCAATCCCCCGAGCTTAGAGACAGGAAAACATCTCTGGACTTAACCTCAGAGGCCAGCACTGTAAAGGACCTCTTTCCTGCTGTGCTATTCCCTGCATGGGCTGCTGACCTAATAAAGGACTCAGTTTTAAAGACAACTCTTAGAGCCCTTACATTCAAGGAGGTAAATTTGAATTGTGGTCAGAGTAATTTAGGTAGGATCTCAGCAAGATCTCACCAGCTGGAAAAGCAGAATGAGAGTGGGTTTTATTTTACCCTACTGCCTGATCTCTAGTCTTAAATGTGACTAGCAAGTGATGAAATTGTGACCTGAGGAAAGTTCACCCTCCTGAGACTCGGTTTCCTGCCGAGTACAGATAGGAAGTTGTTCCTGATGATCTTGTAAGCCTCTCAGCTGGAAGGACATTGCATATTGTAACTTTTAGAATAATTAGTTACTGTAAAAGTCAGGATGATTTTATATATATATATATATATATATATTTTTTTTTTTTTTTTCCAAAAGATGACCGGTAAGGGGATCTTAACCCTTGACTTGGTGTTGTCAGCACCACGCACACCCAGTGAGCTAACCGGCCATCCCTATATGGGATCCAAACCCATGGCCTTGGTGTTATCAGCACCACACTCTCCAGAGTAAGCCACGGGCTGGCCCCAAGTCAGGATGATTATACATGAGTCTTCCTAGGGTCTAATGAACCACAGAGCCTGCATCATTCTATTTAGCTCATTTCAAGAAAGCTTTTCCTATTTCCCCAGCCCCATAATCTTTGATAACTTATGTTCCTCTTGATAGCCAGGTGTAAGTAATGTAGAGAATCTCTGTAATAGTGGTGGGAAATGTGCAGAGATATAAACCCTTATCAAGGCAGATTTTTCAGTCTGTTCTATCTGCAGCATTCTAATTTAAAAATGATTTATGAAAAAAAATGATTTATGAAGTTTATTTTTTCAATAAGATCTCAGTAGCTTTCTTTTTAGACTAAAATGCTTTGCTAAAAATAGGCTGTTATTTCCTTGCTCTCTTCAAAGCTAGCATGGGTGTTTGGTACCTGTTGAAGGAAGATACTTTGCAATGGGTGGTTTATTGTCATTTTCAGTTTCCTTTGCATCAGTTCACAACCAATCAGAGACTCAGTACAGACCCTACATAAGAACCGTTTTAGGTTTGAGTTTTCTAGCTCTTTTCACTGATTCCTCTCCATCTAATAATAAAGGCAGCTGTGCTTGTCTTTAGGGATTCGAAAAAGATGCAAAGTTCCAGGTAGAGTCGGTGATGGTAATATTCTCATTCCCAGAAAGCTGCTCTAACCTTGCCCCTCCCAATTTCCAACCTTCCTCGCAAGGTGACACTGTCTCTGTCCTCATATAATCCCATTACTACAACACTGCATGCAAAGCTACACCCTGACACTAAGACACTCATATTCATCTGTAGCATTTAGCATACTTAGTACACTTCGTGACACATAGTTGATGCTTATAAGAATTTGCTGAATATATTGAAATAAAATACATTGCTTAATGTTACATTTGGCAAAAGACCTTATTTTACTTGATTTTTTACTGGTCCTACAAAAACGTAATTTTTCTCTCTGAAGTTAATGGCATCCAATTCGTTTATAAGAATAAGGAAGCTTTTGTACACAGGTAGATGAAGAGTTTTCAGAGTACCCCCAATCTGTCAGTTGCTAAATTCTTACTGTTCTAGGAAGGTGTCAGGGGACACTCAGATGTCCTGTAATTTTAGTCTGTGCTTTCCCAGAAATGCAATTGCCTCTATTTCTCAGGTTAAATACTAAGGAAATAGACATACTAATATTGTCTTTTGCTTTTCATTATAATTCCAGGAGTCTGTTGCCTTGTTAACAATAAATTATTGAAGAAAATATTAAATATTTCAAAGTAATAAAAGTCCGTCTCAAAGACAAAATTCTAAAGGAATACTTTCTCCTTAGAGTTCTGAGATAGACATGTTGACAAGAGCATTTGGAACAGTGCAAATGGCTGTGGGTTTCTACATTAATC